GGATTCACCAGCCAATAGACTGGTGTGTATCCTCTAGTATTTTCTGCTTATTTTTTAAGGATTGGACTTTTTTCAAATCATCAAACTGGTACTCTATCCAGTTTGATTTGACATGGATAGTGATCGATCTTGTAAAATCTAGTTGACCAACTTTATACTTACAATTAGGTTAAAAGGTCTTTGTTATTTTCAACCGCTGCAGGTAAGAACATTGAGAGGAGGCCATGGGTCACAAGTTGGTGCTCTGGATTGGAACAATCATATTTTGACTACTGGAGGCATGGATGGTCAGATCATTAACAATGATGTTAGAGTGAGGGCGCACATTGTTGAAACTTATACAGGACATCATCAAGAAGTTTGTGGGCTTAAATGGTCAGTCTCCAGCCAGCAGTTAGCAAGCGGCGGAAATGATAAGCTGCTCCACATATGGGAAAGATCCATGGCTTCGTCTAATTCTCCAACTCAGTGGCTCCATAGGCTCGAGGAACATACCGCTGCTTTCAAAGCTCTTGCCTGGTGTCCTTTCCAGGGTAATTTACTGGCCTCAGGTGGAGGTGGAAGTGACCAGTGCATAAAATTCTAGAACACCCACACTGGTGTGTGCTTGAATTCAGTTGACACAGGCTCACAGGTCTGTGCTTTGTTGTGGAATAAAAATGAGCGTGAATTGCTTAGCTCGCATGGCCTTACTCAGAATCAGCTCGCTCTCTGGAAATACCCCTCCATGGTGAAAATAGCTGAGCTCACTGGACATACATCAAAGCGTTCTTTTTATGGTTCAGGTACCAAGTTGTGCTTTATTTGTAGAATAATAAAATGTTGTCATCTTTTAACATCTTAAATCAGATCCCTTTTTTTCTTTTTTTGCTTCAGTGGTTTAGGGCCCAGACAGATGCACAGTTGCATCAGCAGCAGGAGATGAAATTCTGAGGTTTTCGAATGTTTTTGGGACACCTAAAGTGGCAAAACCAGCACCCAAGACATACTCGGAGCCATTTGCTCACTTGAACTGTGTTCGGTGATTGACATGAAAGCAATGTAGATTCTGAAAATTGCGAGGAAGATATGAAGAAAAATGTTCGTGGTAATATTGATAAATTTGCGTGGGATCCAGTCATTGACAGTTGCAAGAAAGTTTTGCAATGAGAAAAATATGGCAAGTTAGATATTTTCTTCATGCCAGTTATTGAGGCCAATGTTCTATATTTCAGGAAGTGTCAAGAGGAATCAAAAGACAGCCTTGGTGGCCCATAGCAGTTTGTTGGATTGTTCTCCCTGTTTGCCTCCAATACATAACAGTGCAGATACCATCTGCTGGGCTTTCTCCATCAT